CGAGCTAAGCGCCATTCCAGGCGGCCCGGCGCCCCCACAGCGGTAGCCTCCGCTCACCCCCCCGCCCGCGCTGCGGCCAGCGGAAGGGGGGGAGGCTCCATTACCAACAACACTGTTGCTGAGGGCGAGAGCCCGCCTCGCATCCCGCCCCCCGGGCCCGGCCATCGCGGTACAACCCTCCCCCGCGAGCCCCTGGCTCACCCTGCCCAGGCCTGCACGGCGGACGCGCTCCCGTCTCTCCAAGCAGCAGCGATTGCAGCAGCTTTGGCCGGGCACGTACCAACAGAAATTGCGTCGCGCTCCGGAACGTCACTTCCGCTAACGCCCCCTATGTCCGGAAGTTTCTGGAACGACCTCGCCCTCTTCCCTCGAGGCGGAAGTGGGGGGGGACTGGGAGAGCGAGCTGCGGCGCCACCTGCTGGCCGTAGGCGGCGCGCTGAGCGGCTGTGGTACGGCGGGCGACGGGGGAGGCATGTGCGAGGCCGTCACGGCACGTCGCAGCGCGCCAGGCCCCCGCCCCCCGAGTCGCCAGCCTCTCATGGCCCCGCCCCGAGGCCATGAGCCATGGACCGAGGTGACCTTGGGGGAGGGAAGGAGGCCGTGGACCGAGATGACCCTCGCGGCAGGGGGGAAAGGGATGGCGCTAGCCCAGTGCCAGGGTGGCCCGGTCATGGGGTGGAGACCTGGAAGGCATCTGAGCTGCACTAGGTCTGGGTGCCCTGTGTTGAGTCCCATGGGGCAGCCCCCAGGGCTGCAGGGCCAAGATGCATTGCACCTTGCTCACCTCAGCAGCCACAGGCCACGGTTAGATCCCCAGGGTGCCCTAGGGTGACCAGATAGCAAATGTGAAAAATTGGGAGGGCAATAGGAGCCTATGTAAAACAAAGCCCCAGATATTGGGACTGTCCCTATAAAATCGGAACATCTGGTCACTCTAGGCTGCCCAGATCTCAACGACTAATAAAAACCTGGATGTCGTGGTATATAATCAGCTGGACGTGACCTCCCAGCGCGAGGCTGTGGCCAATAGAACTAATGCCATCCTGGGATGCATAATCATGGATAGGAAAAGAGCCCCAAGAATGATTAAAGGATTAGAAAATGTGCCTTACCGTGATAGACCCCAATCTATTTAGCTTTTCAAAGAGAAGGTTAAGACCTGACTTGATCACAGTCTGTAAGTACCTGCATGGGGAACAAATATTTGCTAATTGGCTCTTCAGTCAAGTAGAGAAAGGTATAACATGATCCAATAGCTGGAAGTTGAAGCTGGACAACTTCAGACTGGAAATAAGATGTACATTTTTAACAGGGAGTGTAATTAACCATTGGAACAATTTGCTAAGAGTTGTGGTGGATTCTCCAACTCGTACAATATTTAGGTTGCGATTGAATGTTTTTCTAAAAGATATGCTCCAGGAATTATTTTGGAGGAGTTCTAGTATCTGTGTAATATAGAAGAGCAGACTAGATGATCACAGTGGTTGCTTCTGGCCTTGGGATCTATGAAATCTCTGATTTAAACTGTAAGAGCCTGGTATCTATCTATCTAACTCATGGTTGATATGTCACATAATTTTATTGCAAGTTTCACACTTGTTGGTGTTTTTCTTTTTCTTTCTTCTGATGTGATCCCCGATCACATCAGAATCTCAGTTTTTGTTTAAAAATAAAAGTAAGGTTCTAGCTCTGATAGTTGTGAGGAAAAGCTTAAAAAGGTAAACCTGAAGTCTCAGAAACTGGAAGGCAAATGAAAAGAACCCCAATTTTTTTTTAAAAATCTCTTAATTTTTAAACCAGTCAATTTTTTGGAGGCATGACTTATGGTTTTTGAACTACTGTCTATCCCAATTCTTATATGGTCCTTATCACCATAATATCTGAGTGTGTTACATGTGTTATCAAAGCAGTGACAGTTGCTGAGCATAGTTTCTTGTTAACAACAGGTTAATTCTTCCTAGCTATTGTGCTTGCTGGTTTCAGAGGATTCTGCTCATTGTAAATTCTCTAGGCAAATCCCAGCCCAGCATGGTCTGATCTGAGAACAAGATCTGTTATTACCCTCTCCAGAAGTTTTTATGGAGTCAGGTGGGGGTTTCAAAAGGGCCAAACAGAGTTAGGTGCCCAGTGCGCAATGAATTTCTCTGGAGACTGGGCACTTAACTCCCTTAATCTTTTAGAAAATCCCAACCTCAGTAGAGAAAGTACATTCATTTATTTTAATTGTTATGCCAGATTTTATAGGAGTCCAATGCTTTGACAGCTCTGGAACATAAAGTCCTCTGTTTATTCACCAAATAAGAACAGCACAGGCAGCAGAAAAAAATTCATCTCGGTACTATCCAAGAGGGAACTAGTGCAGTCAACAGCACAGCTCTTTCTATGTCCATTCGGTCCTTGGTGTTTCTATTGAAGCTGCCAACGATACCAACTGTGATAGAGAGACAAGGTGGGTGAGATAATATCTTTTATTGGATCAGCTTCTGTTGGTGAGAGAGATGAGCTTTTGAGTTTACACAGAGCTCTTCTTCAGCTCTGGGAAACTTCCTGAAAGCAGCTCTACACTTACAGTGCTGCATCTGTGCCGCTGTAGCCCTTAAGTGAAGACCCTCCTATGCCAATAGGAGAGCTTCTTCTATCAGCGTAGTTAATCCAGCTACCCGAGAGGTTAATATAACTATATTGCTCAGGCATGTGGATTTTTCACACCCCTGAGCAATGTAATTATGGTGATATAGGTCTGTACTGTAGACCTGACCTCAGAATGTCATTGGTGGAACAGATTATTTAGCATAAGTAGTTACTCCTAGGGGACTTCTGCACCAAAAACGTAAAAACTCTGCACCAAAAAATTAAAAATTCTGTGCACAATATTTTAAAATTCTGCATATTTTATTTGTCAAAATAACACAATATAATCATGCCAGTTTCAATTATTTTCGTAATTTATTTCAAAATATCTGTCAGCAGATATAGCTGTAACAATACAGACAAAAAAAAGATTGTTTTTTTACAAATAGATTCCTTACTAGGCATATTATTACAGAACGTTGAGTAATTCATTTACATTAAAATACAGAACTGTATTTCCTGCACCTGTCAGAAGCAGTGCAAAGGCTTGGGAGTGTCAGGGGTAACGGAGGAAGTGAGAGAGAGGGAAGGAGCCTGGAGTCAACCTGGAGGGTTGTTGGGTGTGGGTGGGAGAGGAGCAGTATGGAACAGTTTTTTTTGGTGGGGGACGGGCTGGATTATTAGGGAGACCCTGGCTGATCCCAAGCCTCTCCCATTCAGTCAGGCACACCTACCCCTGTCCCCCCCGTCCCCCCCGATCCTGATGGGTCCCTGCAGCCTCCTCCCTATGTGACCATGCACCCCCACTCCCATTCAGCCCCTGGCTCAATGCTGTCACCCCACTAGTTCCTGAGCCCATGTCCCAGTCAGTCCCCCCACTAACCATTCTGAACCCCAGTCTGTGACCCCCCCAGCAGCCCTGTGTGCCCCTCTCTGTCCTAATCTGGCTCTGCAGGCAGGGTGCTGTGAGGAACTCCTGGGGGGATTCTGTGTTACTGTGCGCACACAGAATTTTTTTCCCCACAGCAAATACATTCTGACCCATGAATGCAGCAGAGGCCGCCATGGCACCAGAACACCCTGCGGCATTCATGCTGTTGGCTGTTCTGGCACCACAGTGGCCTCTGGTGGGCAAATGGTGGAACTGCAGCACTTCTGGTACAGAATGTATTTTCTGCAGGGAAAAAATTCTGCGGGCATCATGAATTCTGCGCATGTGCAGTGGTGCAGAATTCCCCCAGGAGTAAGTAGTTAACCCATATTTCAAGGGACCATTCAAAGTGAAGTGTCCCATTAACACCCCTCCAGCGGTGGGGAGAAAGGGAAATGCAGCTGTTCCACCTTTTATTTAGGTGACACTCTTGAGTACCATTTCCCGGCCCTGAAGAAGAGCTCTTTGTAAGATCAAAAGCTTGTCTCACAAACAGAAGTTGCACCAATAAAAGATATTACCTCACCCACCTTGGCTCTCTAATATCTTTGGACTGACATGGATACAACACTACTGCATACAAGTGTGATAATGATTCTTACATTTGTCCACAGGAATTCCAGTGTTTTTGTAATAATTTAATATTCCCTAGCTCCTATATAGCACTTTTCATCTGTAGATTACTAAGCATTTTACAAAATTACTAAATATCATTATTTCCCATTTACATGTGGGGAAACTGAGGCAGAGAGAGGTTATAGTGGCTTTTCCAAGGTCACCCAGCAGGCCAGTGGCAGAGCCAGTGACAGAATCCAGCTTTCCTAAATCCCAGTCTACTGCTTTTTCCCCTAGGCCACAAATAGAAAATTCAAACAAATGGGCAAAAGTATAGAAACAAACTAATGAAATAGTAAATTTCTAAAGTGTAGTTTATCCAGTTAGGGTTTGTCATATCATGCTAACATAGTAATTTTCTTAAGATTCTTGATTAAAAGGTCACCATCAATTTAAAATCTCACTTCTCTCTGAAGTGATTTTTTTACCTATTACTGTTACACCTGGTACCTGAGATTACAATGATTGAAAGATATTAGAGAAAATAAATTATTTTTCTCTATTTTTTCCAGTTTATTTACTTTGTGCATTTGACAGCAGTTTGTATACAGTATCCCTGTCAGTTTCACCGTTTGTGCATCTTTTTCATGCAGTAACAAGAGTGAGAGAAACATAAGGGGGGAAAAGGGAAAATGTGATTGCCTCATTAACCTCCTCCTTGCCAGTGTAGGGCCTGCCCATCCCATCACAGCCATAGGTAGTGGATTGGGGTAGCTCATGCTTTTAGAAAGAAGTTGTGATAAATGAAGCAGAGTGGGGGTTTCCTTTTATGGACACCCAGCCAGCCAGTTAGCTATAAAGTCCCTCTTGGAGCTATTCTCTACTTTCTTTACCTGTAAAGGGTTAAAAAGTTCCCCAGGTAAAGGGGAAAAAAGTGGGCACCTGACCAAAAGAGCCAATGGGAAGGCTAGATAGAACTTTTTAAAATGGGGAAAGAAACTTTCCCTTTGTCTGTTGCTCTCAGTGAAAGGGAGGAACAGAGGGCAGCAGGAATGCTGTGTAAAGCTTAAGCCAGGTCCGATCATAAATCATCAGATCATGCCTAGAACTACTTATCTGAACTTCAAATGTGTAAGTAGATCAGAATGTTCAACTAGATGCGATCAGGTTTATTTCTTATTTTGGCTTGTGGATCTCCTCTGTGCTAACCGCAGATGCTTTTTTTGCTTGTAACCTTTAAGTTGAACCCCCAAGAAAGCTGTTTCGGGTGCTTAATTTTTGTAATTGTTTCTTT